TTTAAAGTTATCTCATAAAATACCATTATTATTAATTTAAAAGTTAGACCGTGACAAAGAAACTATAATCTCTTACGGAATGTATTAAGGAATAATAACGGAAAAAAAAATCATAGTCATAAAACTGCCTTAGTTAAAAATGTGAAAGCAAACCTGTCAATTCGTTTATAAACCATTTTCTTTATTTTCACTCGAACTCTTTATTATTGGACATACTTTAAAACAATGTCATAACTATACTATTTTCAATATGCTACACAACTAAACATTTTCAACATTATAAAAATGTAACTAGTTACAATTATTTCTGATATTTATTAGAAAAATTATTAATAGATATTAGAAAAATAAACACTAAAATAGTCTTAACACGAAATATTTTAATTAACATTTATGTGTTTGTCATTAGTATTCTCCAAACGAATTTTCTCGTCTCTTTTTAAATTTTTATGTTAAATTTAAAAATGATTTAAATGAAAATAAATTGTAGTATAGTAACTATTAGCTTATTTTTCTATACTATAAATTTTAGTTAATACATCTCAATATATACTCAATATTTCAGTTATTTGAATACTATTATGTTACTTATTCACCAATCTCACCTAATTGATTTTATTCAAATAGCTATTATTATTCATCAGTCATCACTATATAATACTATTTTAAAATGTGAATATCGGTGAAATGTTCTCTACTTCTACTATTATCCAGTCTTTCTAAAGTAGAACAACCCAATTAATATTTTTATTATTTAATACAAATAAAACATAAGTTTAAAAATATATGAATAATTATAATTTATCGTTAAAATTATCGAAAAATTAGGTTAAACAATAATAATTTAGTACACTGTATTAACCATTCAAAGCATAATGTTATCAATATTATATAAATATAAATCCACATCTAAAGTATTTTTATGTAATAATATTGATATGAAAGTATTATTATCTTCAACGTATAATAAAACAAAATTATTTTCACTTAGTTGAGTATTTCTTCAATAATATTCACATGCGTGCACGATATTTTAATGAACCACATTTGACTGAACTTTTACGTTACCAATACCCAGGACAACTATATCAACCCACTATATATCGCTTTTAATAATAGGTATTATTTAAAAACAAGTTCATTAGTGCTCTCTGTAATTATTTCATTCGTATATAATAATGATCACGTTGAGCAAAAACATACACAGCAATATCTACAGCAATCTACCGGATTATATTGTTAGGGAAATTCAAAGTAATATTTAAATTACAAAAACTTAATGGCCACTTTAAGTGGAAAAGCAAAATATGATACAAAATAGTGCTTATTGAAAATAAAACAAATAATAAATTCTATTACTTCGTAATTAAACCGTATACTCAAGGCTGTTACAGTTATTTAATACAAACTGATGTATATTTTTCTTCTCGAAAGAAAATATTTTCCAAAATTATGTCAATCAACAAACATTATTGAATTACTTTAACATTTCCCAAAAAACAAATACTACGTTACAGTGATGAACTTTTCAAAATTTGTAGATACTCATAAACTACGTTTATGCTTTAAAATGTCAATGAAAAATAAATTATTTGATTGTTATGCTTTAAGTAAATTAACGAATTTGATATGTTTAAGATTTTTACATTTTACTATTTTATTGACATTAATATAACGTTTTATAATAATTTAAAATATTATAACTGAAATTATTTGGGCAAACGTAAACTGTGCCCAACGAAGGGAAACAATTGTAAATTGCGCCTGGTATTTTTCAGGTATAAATGTTTGTGTAGTAAATTGCACTCGGTATATTTCAGGTACACATTTCTGTATAGTAAATTGCCCAGTATAGAAATATTATTTTTATGATAGTCATATAGCATTACCCAGGGGACATCACGAGGAGGCAACTATCACTGTCCTCCAAAAATGTTTTTTTTTTGTTTTACTTGAAATTAATAAATTAATTAATAGAAATAGGAAAATTAATATTTTTTTTTAAAAATATTATGGTATAAATTATAGTTTTTTAAATATTTTTTGTTAGGTTAAAAATATTAATAATAAAAAATACAGTTATAAGTTATGTACATAGTAATGAGATATCATCTTCACATATTCAGCCCTCATAATAGTGTTTTCATTGTATTGTTGAATAATTTTTTCCATTTTTTGAATTTTTTTTTTTTTTGATTTGATTTTTGAAATGTAGGAACAAATGATATGTATGAACCTATAAGGTTAGGTATTAGGTATTATAGGTATTTATACTATTAATTTTTATATAAATTTCAGATTGTAACTCTAATATTTTATCCATAAAATTATAAATATGAGGTTACTTAGATACTATATACTATGGGCGCAATTTACTATAGTATTTTGACTACCTAATTAATGTGGGCACAATTTACAAGGACCCAATTATTCATTGATTAACATGTATGTTTCTCGTTAAACTTTTACGTTACGTATGTAAGTATACTAAAAACTCATAAAATAGAGACTTATTTTAAACATACTCATATACTTTTTTACAATCTCGGTTATAATGTACCTACATAAACACATAGACTTATAGTATTTTAATATTTTATAACTATAAATATAAAATTAATATGTATAAATCAAAGATTTAAATATTGATCAATAATAATTTATAAAAGAAATAACATTAAAATATATATATATATATATATATATATATATATATATATTTTTATATGATTAATAACTTTTGCTTTTTGAAGCCTTAATTTCAAAAAGTTTTTTTTTCAATATTAAGTCAATATTTTTTTAAATTTTATATACACCTATATATATTTATGTTTTTTTTTTTTTTTTAATGAATAAAAAGCTAATCTTCAAAACGAGAATTTACCTTACTGTTACGATTATTTTATAGACTTAAATTGGAAACTAGACAATTCAAGCAATAATCACTATTACTACTTGATGTATTCAATATCAAGTGTAGGTATTTTTATTTGTAATACGATTGGTATCATATTATATGAGGTATTATACTACTGGATGATTTGTGTTTACGTTGTACAATATCTTATTGTTCATATTAATTTAGAAGTATTAGTGAACTTCTATACAACATCCAATTTCCTTTTAAACTTCCAGACCAAATTTCGATAATGCTTACCCTCTCTAATTATTTACCTATATTTCCTCCCGTTCATCTTAGCTTATTACAATACAACGTCATATTTCGTCATAGTTACAAAACCATTAGTTAGTTTCAAAACGCGACCCTTGGATAATTTAAGGATACAACCAATTTTAGATAGTTAAGGGTAGACATTTGTGAGGACACCATAGTCCATAGAAGACAAATTCAAAATAATAATCTCGGCTATCAATCTGAGAGAATTATTGCTATTTCAATGTTACATTGACATGATAGTTACAAACATTATATAAATAAAATACATTTTTCAATTTTGATAAAAATGAGTTAAATGTTATTTACCGTTTCCGTGATCCATGCATCAAATCATGTATCAAATAAATAATATGAACATGAATATAAAAATTAAAATAAACAAAGAAAACTTAGAGGTATCAGTAACGCTTATGGTACCTAATTAAAACAAATACAATTAAATTGTTATGTACGGTTAATCTTTCATCTTTCAAAATATTTCCCTAAAAGACCGCAATAGTTAACTATTGCATGTCATATTACAAATAACAACAAAAAATTGAAGAGTAGTATATATTATATACGATGTATATATCTCGTCTATATCTGTGTGTAAATTTTATATATAATATATTATGATTTTTGATTATTTACATAGTAAAACTATTGGCTTGAACGTTTTAAATGTACCTTATGAAATATAAATATATTCGTCCATGAACATAGTAATATCAGTTTGTGGTAATCATGTTATAGCAGGTAGGTACATAAATTAACGCAAGATGTTTTATTAATTGTATAAAGTTTAATTATTGTTTTATTATTAATCTGAGCTAACCAAAGCTTTCACTAAAGCACCTACCCGCAGAAGATATAACGGAACAACAGTAGCTAATAATTCTATACCACGGTAAGATTAATGAAAAATAGTACTATAGCTGTATAACATAGAAACATTACAATTGACGGACTAGAGAACTCGTAAAAATCAAATATCGAAGTCGCGACGAATATCGTTTCACACGTTCGAACCCACACACGAATAAGACTACGGAGCATAGTACTGGCTATGTGACATTTGAGGTGAAATACGAAGATGAGTCGGTTGTACTACGGCGCATAATATTGCTAAGGGTTAAATTTTTCATTAAAAGTAGCAAAAACGATTATGATCAATAATAATAATCGTATTACTGTTCAAACCCCTGTAGCGCACACAATATGTGGTATTTAATAAAGTAGTAAAAAAATAATTAATTAAAAATTAAAAACTATGAAATGGTTAACACTAAAATAATACATAAATAAATAAATAAACTATTTATTATCTATTTATTTACTTTATTTCATTTGTATACCAGCTTAATACGGCCAGTGATATTGTACGAATCGGAAACCTGGGCACTAAGGAATTCCGATGAAAATAAATTCTTAACGCTAGAAAGGAAAATATTACGAAAGATCCTAGGTCTAATAAAATATGACATCATAGGTGAGTGAAGAAGGAGAAAAAACAGATAGTTTCAAGAAATGTTTGATGAAACAATATAGTACGGACGATTAAGATAAGACGGGTGCGCTTAGCAGGACTAGAATAATGGTACTGTAACAGAATCCGGTTGGAAAAAGACCCATGGGAAGACCAAAATTGAGGTGGGTAGATACTGAAAGGATTTGGTGAAGAATAAAGACGGATGGAGAATGGGTTGTGAGACGGGATGGTCCTGGTGGCCCCGAATAACTTATGTACTTATTAATATTATCTGTGTAAATTTGCATAGTTAAATATAATATTTGTATAACATTGTTATGCACGTGTGCGCCACGTCGAATCGGTACTCACATGGCTGCCGGGAGGAGTAGTCGGGGAAAAATCCCGTTGGACCGCGGGCAAGGCGGTGAACGCGCGGTTAACGTGTTCGACGGGTGCGCGCGCGAGTTACGCGGTACCGAACGACGTGCGGTACGCCGGAACGAGTTACGCGGAAAACGATAACAACGACGACGCGGACGCTGGGCGAGTTACGTGGCGCGGGCGGACAACGCGTGACTAACGGAACGGAGCGCGCCGGCGTTCGTGGCGGACGGCGAAAGCGGTGCAACACTTGGATGACGCGCGCGCTGTTTCCCGGCTTTTCCGCGTCGGTGTGGCGGCGGCGGTCACCCTGGCAACGCGGGCTGACCATTGCGGCCGAGGAAAAATACCGGAGCGCGGCGGCACCCCTGACCTGATCGTGGCCGGCGTCCGGGAAGCGCCGTGGGCCCGTTCTACTACCGGCCGCGGGTCCCTTCGAACTGCATGGGACGCGAGCCGGGACCGAGAAACTCTGGGCCGAACCGCGGACGGTCCGACGCATACCGTTTTCTCGAGCGACAACTCGGTTTTTCACGGAGGTCTTGATCCCTGATCCTCGTAGACGACTACGGACCGCCGCACAACGGTTCCAACAGACCTGAAACGGTGAATTTCTGTGGTGGTATTATACACGCTTCTTCTTGCTTCCGATTTTTGAATTCAAAAAACGTACGAGTGGATAAGCTTAAATCAAGGACTGGAACCTTGATGAATTTCACGGTTAAAGTTCGGATCATAAAAAAGAGGTTCAATGTCGATTCTTAAAAAACTAAAATTTCGGTTTTGGTTTTTTTTTTAGTTTTCCCAAAAAAAAATTTAAAAAATAAGCTCCGGTTTTTAAAATCTCAAAAATGTTGTATTCAGTTTATTTTTGGTTCTTCAAATATGAAAAACTCGCTTTAAGTTTTTATACTATATTGTAAAAATTTCGTTCTATTTTTATTTTTTAAAAAATATAATTTAAATATTAGAAGTGTTAACGTAAATTACAGTGGTCAATACCGATTTTCAACCAGATATCCTACCCATAGCTTAGAGGTAAAAAAAGGACTAAATAAAGAAATCATTTTTACTCTTATCACTAGCATTTAATGAAACATCCTGCACTCCTTTTTAGATTTTGACCGAAGTGATGGAATCTATTGGTTTTGCATACAATGATGTGAATTTTTTTTTTATGTGTCTGTCATCACGTTTTGAGGCAGTAAAAATGCTTCAATTTTCTTAAACAGCAACTTTTCTGAAAGGAAAGTGAATGTAGATGGTACTTTAGCATGTCAAAAATCCAACGTTTTCAATATTTTTTAAAAGCATCGAAAAAAACCATAAAAAAATTACGAAAAAACGGGAATTTTTACGCAAAACCACATTTTGGCAAACTTCATTTTTTTTAAAATACCCAAAAATAACTCAAAAATAGAACACTGCATCGTTTCATACAATTTTTTTTATAAACTTATAAAGTTAAAATTTATTTAAAATGTGTCAAAATCACGATAATTTGCAAGTTATTTTGTAGATAAAAATTCTTAAAATTTATTCTGCTTATACTCAAGGTTCAAAATTTTAACACTAAGTGATCCATAAGTTATTCTTCAAAAAACTATAAAAACATTTTTACCGGACTTTAAGAAAAAAATGTTAGACCATTTGAAATTTAAATTCTTAGAAAATTATATAAAATAACGATTTTAAATATTTGTTATAATTCAAAAAGTATAAGTCGCAGTAACTTAAAACTTTTACAAGTTATTAAGTTTGTAATTTTCTTTAAGTATATTTTTTCAAAATATACCGATTTTTAAGCAACTTATAGGCATTTGAAATATTCGATTTTTTCTAATAAAATAATAAGAGCCGTTTTGACTCATTTTTTGTTAATTAAATATAATTATATAGGATATTTATATAGAAATTACAACCAAATAGAAACTGGAACTGCTTTCTATTATTATAATAATATTTTTTCCATATATATCTAACAAATCATCTCCGTTCAAAATCGTTATTCGTATACAATGATACCTACCACTGGATTCAAATTTAACAAATCCATTGTAATGACCTACCCTATAAACGAAGTGCACTCCACCCTCTACTGTACAGCAGAGCGAAGCCCATCCGGTTCTTTTTTTTTTGTAGTTTATATATTGATTGTTATGTATCATTTTCAAATGATTATTAATATTATAAAGTATATTGATATTCAGTATTAAATCTTTAAAATATACGCCAATCGTTTTATTGTAACCGTATACTATAATTGTTTAAGGTTATACTTGCGTTTGGGGATTTCAGTAGATAATACCTAGGAAGATCTGTTCCAATTTAACAAGATTTTATACTGATCACTAGAGTATAGATTTTGAAGGCAATTGCTTTTTTTCTTCTATTGCTTTATATAAGTGGTTCTCAAGGCTTTTTAACAATACAGTACACTTCACCTCCAACACAATGTTCACGGCACACCAATCCATATAATATGTGAACCATATTTTATATTTTTAAGTACACTTTTTTCAGTCTCTTCTACTAGAGTTAATTATTATGAGGTATATTAATACAATCCATCGATCAAGATGGCTACAGCGGGCATACTTACAATAAATAATTTTACATGTATCTACGATTAGTTTGATAAGTTTTCATCGAATATCGATAGTAATATTGGTAAATACATACTTATAAAACAATTTATAGATTTATCGCGACATACTTCCAGAGTGCTCCCGGCACACTGGTTGAAAACCACTATTCTAAAACGTAAGTATAAATAATAACAAAATATCAGCTACAAATTCGATTTATACTACTTAGAATGAATTTCACATTTTATTGCTTTTTATTCACTTTCTTTTGCTTTTTATGGGTTTTTGTATATTAATGGTTTTTTTTTTTTTTTTTGGGGGTATTTTATGTTTTTTTTTTCTTTTAAGTTACCTACATTTTTTCAAATTTTTTCTAAATAAACGTATTTGAAATGTAAATATTTATTTCAAAATCTTTTTCCAAATCTTGTTTAATCATTTCTTTACAACCTTTGTTCAATATTTCAAATCAAATATTTTCTAGGTAATCAAAAAATGTATGTATATATGTGCGGTCAAAAACTTTTTCGACCCTTAAAAATGCGATTTTGAAAAATCTTTTCTTATTGCACAGTGAAAGTAATAGTGGAACCACTATTTAAAATTTCAAGTGCATACGTTGAGTAGTTTTAGAGATACAGTGATCAATAAGTCAGTGGTAAATGAATTTGATATATATTTATATATATATATATAGTGTGGTTTTCTTTGGATAATCTGATTATGAAAAATGCCACGTACCACCTTGTCATATAATTATCAAAAACAACAATAACAAATTTTATTAATCATTGGTATTATATTAATATTATGTGCATGGCAAATAAGTTGATACTACTACATTGGTTACGTGGGAAATTAATTCCACGTTTAATGATTTCATACTTTACAATTTAATAGTTATATACAGTCTTCGTCGCCATTATAACAGTTCTGATATAAGAGATAGTGACCTGCACATTTCGCCCCTGACTTTGTCATTAAACTTCTACAGTTATGCGAATTCCGGACTAAAAATACAGTAACTCTTTTTGATAGGAAACCCACATAAGTGCCTCTATAGTCAAATGTCAATGTTAGAGTTTATCTATTTACATCTCTTTAAAGTTCAATTACCTCTATCTAAAATTCGAAAATTTGTAATTCAATTTTAAATAAATATGTGTATATTAGTAATGCTATTGTTATACATTTTTCTACAACAACATAGGGCAGATAAAATGTTGTAATTTGTTTACTATTAAATGTAATTTGTTTTTAATATCTTTCATATTATAATAAAATATAGGATACATCCAACAAAAAATTTGCAGGAATATATTTATACATACATAGTTTGGAAGATGCTTGTTTATATTATATTTTTCAAGCGAACTGTAGTAAATATTAAAAGATTTTTCACTCAAAAAATAGTGATCCATTTAACTAATTTTATGATTTACTTTCGAAATTATCAACTCTATCCATTGAAAAAAAAAATAATTACTTATAGAATTTTTTCCTAGTCCGAAAATAAAATTCTTGTTTTCAAAATATTGACAAATTACCATATTCATTATCATATCACATATTAATATTTAATTATACTTTATGTATATAAATATATAGTACAGTGTTTTGCAAAGATAACTAACAATTTATCTAGATAAAAAATAAAATACTATTTATCTGGATATAAAAAAAAATAAAATTTATTTTTATTTTATTAATTAATTTATACTTTTTTTATACATTTTTACTTAATGAATAAATAAAAATAAAAATTAACTTAACTTTGATCTAGTAGATACTTCCAACATAAATAACGAATAAAAAATATTTATATTTTGTAAATTTATGTATAGGTAATAAGTAATTAATAATAAGTACTTAGTTTTAAAAATAAATACATTATTTTAAGATATATTATAATTGTATAAAACAATTCATTAAAATGTATATAATACTTATTATGGAGTAATATTTATGATCAAGATATTAAAAAGTTAATTCAACCATTATCTGAATTATTTAATCCTCTTTCTTAGGAATCAAATATTGTAAGTCACCACCAGAAAATATAAATGGAATAGTCTTTATTAAATAAGTAAACAGTTCTTAAAAATAATACTTATAGGCACAATTTAAGTAATATAACTAAACATATATTTGCAGTAGCATAAATTTTAAAATAATAGTAATTAATTACGAAATAAATAAATTAATAATATTAATAATATTTTCTTAAATTTTAAATTTTTATTAGTTCTTAACATTCAAATTCAATTTTTCGAATTTTAATTTATACTCGGATATTTTTATCTAGATGAATTACATTAGATAACTAATTGTGTTTATTAACTAGATAAGATAAAAGATAATACTCAACACTGAGCACAAGTACATAGAAGTTAATAAATGTACCTATATTTATTATATTTTAATTTTTTTATGTTATTATAAGTATTTTTTTTTTTTTTTTACAAGTCGATATATTTTTAAATCGTTTATTTTAACAAACGTGCTCTATTGTCAATTAATGAGTTTTTAATGATGTTGAGCATTGTTCACAAACTTACCATGACAAATAGTCGAGTACAATGACGATGAAATATCGGCGAGAGTGGTTAGGTAAACAGATATTTTTAACCTAACTAAATT